TCTGTGTACCCTTGGCTGTCCTGGAACTCGCTTTGTAGACCAGGCTGGCCTCGAACTCACAGAGATCTGCCTGCCTCTGCCTCCCAAGTGCTGAGATTAAAGACGTATGCCACCACCGCCTGTAAATATTTATTTAAAAAAACCAATGTTACTCATAAATATATAAATCTGACTTCAAAGGAAAAAAGTACTGTGAGTTTTACCTATAGTTTTCATTTTGTCATTATATGAATATATTAAAAAATGAATATGGATTCCATATGTTTAATCATGATTGGCCTTAACAGTCATGTCCTCTATACCTTAGTATCCCAGTGCATCCCTGCTCTTCCTGATTTTAGGTCAGTAGGCTGAGGAGTTGTCTGTTCTCTCTCTCACAGTAACTCCTCATTCCAGCTTCTGTTTATTTCAGTCACAGGCTTTCGAGCCCAGGTCTCACACGTGCTAAGTCCTCACACTGCCACTAAGTTACTTCCACCACTAGTTTTTAAAAAGAAGCATAATTAATAATAAAAGTGACAAAGAGTCACCTTGAAATGCCCATGCTCTACACTTCTGTTCAGGAGGAGGCTCATGCTCAAACCATCATATTTTCATTTGTTTACACAATGTTTATACTGACTTTTCCTTCTTTCTCACTTGGTCTGGGCAGCTTCAGGAGCTGAGGACAACTACCTAACCTTTTCCCTTCCCTCATAGCCTCCCTGTACCAAACAGACATGAAGAGCACTGGGTCTTACTCCCTAGACAGACAGACAAAAAAAAAAAAATCCAAAAGTAATCGTCATATCTTCTCTTTCCCTTAAAAGCAGGTGACTGCTTTTTAAGTGTGTATGTGTATACATGCCTATGTATGTGAGTACACTCTTACGGGCACAAGTGAGTATAATTACCCATGGAGGTCCAAAGAGGTTACCAAATTTGCTAGCACTGGAGCTGTAAGTGATTGTGAACTCCCAGTATGGGCACTAGGAACTAAATTCTGGTCCTCTGCTGAGCTATCTCTCCAGCCCCCAAAGTGACTATTCTATACCAAAGTTAGAATTATTATCTAGAAATGAAGAGCTAATGCAGTTAAAAGCAGAGCTCCTGGCTCTGTTGTTACTGTTGTTTGTTTTCTGTTCTTAACAATCTAGCCATTAGACAACTTACTTTTTCTTCTTCTCTAACATATGAGACATATCAAGCTCTGTTATCTAACATTTAGTTCAGTAGATTGCTGTTAGCCAGCTCCTGTTTTAGGACATACTTTAACTGGTGTTTTCTGGTGTCCGACTGGAGGCATCCAAATCCAATTATTAAAGAAATACTCAACAACATCCTTTGCCATTTTCTGAGACATATCCTGCTGCTTTTCAGTCTTGCAATAGCTAGTAAGCAGAGCTTAGTATAAACTACAAGTCTATTAATCAGAATGGAGAACAGAGCTGAGTTTGTTGGGAACAAATGCCTGTTATAAGACAAAGGAGAATTCCCAGCACACCACCAACTGAGAGCAGCTGAACAAAAGGCCTCATGGGCCTGAGGTTTAGAAACTTTGGCACCAGAGTGGCTCAGGAGGGCAAGAACAAAACAACACAACACAAAAACAAACAAACACCCCAATATGGATTTATTATCATAAGCCCGAAGCTCAGAGCACTGATGTAAATGTTAGCCTTCCAAGATCTGGGTTTATTCCATGAAACATAACCTTTGATTTGCTTGTGAATTTCCAGAGCTATTAAACAGAATGAGTATACTCTTGAGTTACCTGCCTGTTGGGCTAGTGACACATTAAGCATCATCACTGACTATTTTACATCTCTATTCAAGACAATAAAGACTTCTGAAGGTACCACACTGAGTTGGATACACATGCTGCAAACTTCTGCATTTAAAAAAGGCTGGAAAAGTGTTTTGTAAATCAGTTTATTTTCAAGAATGTGCTTGCTCTACAATCTCCTAAGAAAATTAAACCCTGTGCTCTAAGAACAGAAACCTGTTTATATTTATGAGCATAGACTAAATTCATGGGTAAGAAAACAAGGAATCATGTGTGACCTATCACTAGACTTTTCATATGACTAAAATTCTAGTATATATCTAATGACTGAAATATCATGGGACATAGACTAGCTCACAAGCATCCACCTTGTACAATATGAGGCATCCAGGCCTTCTTTTCTAGACCTGAGCTGAAAGGACAAGAAAGTTAAGGGGGAACATATATTTGAAAAGGAAATGACATCTCTGATCCATCTTGCTTTCTGTCTCAATGAGAAAATATACTATCAACTTGGTAAGAATGTCAGTTTTATCAGTTTCTCTAATGTAGTTACAGAATAAAACAAACAACAACAATAACATTTGCAATTTTGAGCTTATCTTCCCAAATAAAAATCTCCCATCTTCTGACCTCTCCATTAGAAGAAAACTACCACGGAAAGGGGAACGTGGGAACCTGGCAGGATGACACACATCCTGTGACTTAGGAAACTAGGTGGGCACAAGCCTGGGCTGTTCCTCTCTGTAAATGACAATTTTGGCTCATAGCTGGGATTATAGGCTAAGATAACATCTTGACTGTTCTACTCGCACATATCTATCTGATTTTACTAATGGCCAGTGCACACTAGCACTTCCAGAAGTCAGCTAAATGCTAACCATGAGATGGCCTCGCGTCAATAGAGAATAAGACTCACTCTGCTGCCAGGTGGTGGTGATGCACGCCTTTAACCCCAGCACTCATGAGGTAGAGGCAGGTCGATCTTTGTGAGTTTGAGACCAGCCTGGTCTACAGAGATAGTTCCAGGACAGCCAAGGCTACACAGAGAAACTCTGTTTAAAAAAATTAAAAACGTCACTCTGCTAATCTGCACCTCGTAAAAGGAAAGTCTGAGGGCAAGTTAACTGGCTCTTCTCTGTGTGACAAACCAGCTCACACTGCATGAGTCACACATGCACAAACAAGTGACTGAAACTGCAAGGTTATTTACCGTCCACACCGATGTGAGTGTCAAAGAACTTGAACTCAAAAGTCCTCTATAAACTTGAAGGAGGAAATTGTTTCTAAAATGTACCTCCACATCCCCAAATCAGTTGACTTTCTCATCTAAAATGCTTGGTTGGCCGATATAATGTGACCCAGGTATAAACAGCATTTAGGTATGTAATGACTAAGTTTTTTTTAAAATATATTGACTCAAAATAGACTTTTTATAATTTGACTTTACCTCCATTCAAAAAATGTCTTAATTCTAAAAATACCAGTTGCTATTGACTAACCTTCGAATGATTCTCAAAATATAAACCTAAAACTCTGGATAAAAACAGAAAGCTAGATCTCCAATACTTTGGCATTAATGTCTGAGATGATTTAAATATCTTCTCTAGCAAACTATCTGTGACCCTAAAGCTTTCCCCGTGGGAATGGAGTGGGTAAGGCTGACACCTACATAGTGGCAACTGTGATGACCTGTGGAGAGATACACAGAGGGCTTATCATCCAACTTACAGCAACTACTTCCAGGAGGAGCCCACGTAAGCACCGACTCTGGGAGTTCATCCAGCAGACTAAACAAAACAGGGAAAGGACATGGTAAGTATCTTCAAACCCATGTTCACTGCTTCATTCAGAACATAAAACTCTGAGTCTGTGTTGACAGGACACCACGGTTTTGCCCTTTTTTACCCAACTGTAATGGACGAGGATTACAAAGGGTGAGGGGTCCTTAGTTCTAACTGGCCAACCAATGTGGAAACAGGGATGATTTAACCCAAGCTGTATACAGTTGAGGACTGCAGAGGTAGGAATGCTTGCCATGATGTTGCCTTAAAAACAACAAAAAATACATATAAAATTGTTTGTAGATGGTGAAGTCATTTTTTCCCCTCATATATTTGTCACTGGAGAGGTATGGGAAACTATCCGAAGAGGTGAGATTAAAACTCAGTTCAAACTGACTTCATCAACCCGATCAAAACTTCCAGGAGTTTGACCCCAGGGTGGTTATTGTCAGCAAATTTAAACACAATAGAGTATGGGGAAATGGTTTCCAGGAAAAAATCCAGGTACACAATAAAGCTTAGGGTGTGACTACATAGAAATTCATTTGCAAAGTACCTGTGACCTTGAAAGTGGGTTCTAGAGCTAAAAGGCCTAGACTCTAGCTTGGTCTCTGACCCAGATAACATAGAGGCCATAAAGTACATGTGACATCTCCCCTAAGGGTGGGTTCTATTAACTGGGAGCTAAAGATAAGGGTCTAGGGAGGGAGAGTCTGGGGTAAATATTATGGGGGATTTGGGTGAGGTCTGCCTCCACAGAGAGCAATGGTCACCAAGTTGTTAACAATATCCACTCCCAGATTTCTGGATGGGAAAAGAGGCATTTTATCTCCTCCATTGAGGAGAGGCCCCTATATGTTCAACATTCCTGGTTTCCCTGGTGATCTGTGGGCAAAAAGACCTTTGTGCCCAACCCCCTCTCCCATCCCGCCCCCAAATCATATTTTCCTCATGTATTTACCATCGGAGAGGGATGGTTTTTAGTTATCTGTGTATAATAGTTCTCCCCTAGGAAGAGTTCATTCTAACCAATGATTGAATGAGTTAATGAGAAGTATCAACACAACACACCAAATCAAAACAACAAACGCTAGGTAAATGCTTTTCAGTGTTTTCAGCTAAATAAATATGCCTCTCTTAAGTCGCTGTAGCAAAAATATATAAAGTCTCAACTAAAATTATGGTTCACAAAGAAACTCAAGCAGAAAAGTGCAGCGATCTCAAGTGACCCATGACAGCAAGAATGCAGGGACACGTGGTGTGGCCAAACCTGCCATCCTGCCTCCTGTTACACCCTCACAGGCAAATAAAGCACCATGTGTTACATAAGAAATCTGAAATGTTCTAAGCTTTGACACATAATATATTGGTTTTACTAATGTTTGTATTTATATTGCTAATCAAATAAAAATGAAGATAATAAAATACGTAACGTAGAGGTAATGTTTAACTTATTAAAACCCTATATTTTACACAGTACTATTTTATTATACATGAATACATATGTAGACATACTAATTATTAAAATGAAGGCATCTATGTATACATGTTAATACAAGACTAAAATAAGGCAGTCATAAGTCTTATTAAAAGAAAGCCTGCCAATAATCATAAGAATTAAAATGCTAGCCTTTAATTGAAATACACTACTTAAACTAGATAAACTGAGCTGACATACTGTATACCAGGGTTGCTTCTGAGTGTTGATACCTATGGGTTGACTTGGTGGGATGTGTAGAGCATGCCAGACAGACCAAGACTGAGATGGACAAAACTCATCAGAAAGCCCCAACTCTGACTTGCACAAGTGTGTCAGGGACGATGGTGGTCAAGATTCCAAGGGCAACTATTGCACATGTCAGTTTGTAAACATCTGTCATTTCCAACCTTTAGTCTTCACTTCCTACCTTGAGCACTGATACTAAGGTGGATCCAGGTGTGGGGATGCACACCTCCAATCCCAGCACCTGGGAGGCTGAGGCAGGAAGATCATAAGTTTGAGACCATCTTGGAATACAGAGTGAGACACAGTCTAAAAAATTTTTGAATTTGAAGATTGACTTATATGGCTGAGTTGTACCTCTGTGTGTGAAATGTGTCCATTTTCATTGTTTATTTTCCTAAAATTCTACTCCCTTGGTACAACAGCAGTCTCTCCCTGGATAACTATCTCCACCTATCTTAGTATGTGAGGGAAAGTGCCTGGAACCCAGCTGACCAGTGAGAGAATTGTAAAACAAACACTGTTCTAAAACTGACCTCCTTATGCTAACAGGGTTGAGGTAAAAACTTTGAATGTAGAATATTAGAAAGGTTTATGCAGCTACCTAGTATTTCATATAACTAGCACACTTAAATGTTTTCTTTGTTTCTACCTCAAGGGTCTTCTGGGGCAGGAATGTGAGGTATGCTTTGCTCACCTGAGAAATGCAGGCCCTCCTCTCCTGCCTCACCCGCTGCTCTGCATGCTGCTCTGCATGGCTGAGATCAACCACACCAAGAAGAGAGCACTTCCATACCCAGGTACCACACTCACTGGAAAACAGTCCATCTCATAAACACCACCACCTAGAATCTAAGTGCTAGAAAATAGCATGTCCAGAAAGAGAGATTTTATTTTATATTTGCACTGTAAAATTTTCTATACTTTATAATTTTTCAGTGCTGCCCTAATGGAGTTTATGTCGGGTTCTGATTTTTTTTTTTTAACAATAGTTTTCAAACTACTGATATTTGTTTTGTCATGGTGGTGGAGGGGCAGTTTTATCTGGCATGTCGACTCCCCTCCATGACCTCTCTCAGTCCTGCTGCATGAAGGGATGGGACATTTGAGAATCCCTACTTGGTTTTAGCAGTCTGGACAGCCACAGGGTCCTCCAGGTTTGTGTCCCAAGGTAGCTTCCCACATAGCCAGCGCAGCATGCAGTAACCAAGGATCTCAACGTCGCTTCTTCTGGAAGGGGCTGCAGAAAAGGGAGGATAAAAAAGTTCGTGAGAAATAGAGAAATCTCTGAGTGAGCTCCCATTGACGAAATATGAAAAAACCAAATGGGCAAAGTGTTGTGTTTACTCAGCTGGAGTGAAGTTAACCGTCTGGGCGTCTGGCCTCAGTCCACAGACAGGCAGGACTCGTGCTGAAGTAAGGGTCAGCTTCCTCACCTCCTCCAACTTCATCTTGCCGTCGTCTAGCCTGTCACATGAACTTGATCCCATGGCCTCTGACATGATCCAGACAACCCATAACCCAGCACCAACACTTTCTCAAAGAGCCAAACAGTAAAACAAAGAAATAAATGTCTGCAGCTAAATTGCTAACACATGTTCCAGGAAGTCCATGGGGTCTGCCTCGGTCATGCAGAGACCTTCTGAGTGCAGACTACACGCTGAAGGCCTTTCCTATTCCGTCACAGCAGTGGTCGCATCTGAAGTCGGAAGAGTGTGACAAAGCTGCCATCTAGTGTGCAGTCTTCAAAACCAGGCCGTGAAGACCTTCATCAGTGGGAAGTGCAGTGACTGTGGGCACACAGCTCCACAGTGCTCCGCACATCACCTCCCGATGACTCGGAAAGCCAGAGGCGAGGGAGCACGGAGCGGGTGTGGTGTGGAGGGGATGGCGGAGAAAGAAGTTCCGAAGCCAAACAGACTCCAAGTAAGATGGCTTTTCCTAAACCATTAAAAGAACATACTCAGGCCTCAGTAAATATGATGTATATCAAGCGCTAAACTCTGTGGACGAATTTCATCTCAACTTGACACACTTTCCTCGAGTACCTTATATAAAAAGACAACGAGATCTAAGAATTGTTAAATACAACTGACACCTGCTAATGAGTCACTGAATTAATAACTAGCACACTTAGTGAATACCCATGAAATAAAATCATTTTATAAGCATTCCAAGCTATTATAAAAATAATAAGCTGGTATTTATATTTATTCTACTACTTGAATGTTCATCTGTACAGGGATATATAATATCCTGAGCAATATGGGGTTGTTAAAGCCTACTGTAAACAGGTATCCTATTTCATTGTCATTCATTAAATAAACTCTGAAAAGTCAGTGAGTGAATGAACTAGGTCTTTAATTTATGAATCCATCCACTGAGAACAATGGTGCCACCTCACTGTAGTTACTCTGGGTCACCATACCTAAGTTGTTATAAAAGCAGAGTGTACAATTACTCCTACACATACTGGGTTATTAAAACCCCTTCAATCCAGTGGAGGGCCAGGCCCATGGGTGCTGTTTATCTGCTGCACAGGCCTCAACAATGTCCTAATGCAGGACTTGACTCTAGTATTAAAATAAAAACAGTTGCTACCATGCTGCTCTGCAAGGATTTCCTTGGTGATAAAGCTCCCATTAATAACAGAATTATTATTATTATTATTATTATTTACACAAGAATCTGTTCCTTGTGTACAGATGTGTTCAGATGTGTACAGGAATTCCTGATTACTATCAATTAAAAAATTCACATCCTTTAAATGCTCAAAAGATGATATTCTGACACTTGTTTTCCCTACACAAAAGGAGGGCTAAAGTCCAGTATGAATTAGTGTAGAATGCACCTTCCCAGTGACTCCAGCCACACTCCAGCGGAGGGACTGATAGAAAGCTGCAAATACTGACATGTCATTTAGATTTCTGAAACAAATATTTCATAAACTGGTCTTCATGTAAAATAGGCCTTTGAAAGTTGAGTTCACTTCTCTATTATCTAATTAAATATATTATCGCATTTCCAATCTTTCCCTATATGCACTACATTACTGGGTGTGGTTAAGCAAACATTTTACAGTCTTCTCACTGAGTCCTACAAAAACACTTGGAATGTTAAAAAGAACGATTATATTTTCCTAGCCTAAGAAGTATGATAAAAGCATCAAAATGTTTCTAAGTCTGTCTCTCTGACTGAAAATCGGTCCCAGAGAGACAAAATGCTTGACTTGTTTTGGGGAAATCAAACTCTTTCAATCTATAATTGTCATGTCCACTCTCTGGCTACCATACAGAGAGGAGTAAATGTAATAATTATTAATTCAAAAACAATAATTAAGAAGTTAAGACCACGTGCTACTGTGGCAGAGGACCCAGGCTTGGTTCCCAGCATCTCTGTGGTGGCTCACAAACATCTGTAACCAGTTCCAGGTGGTTTATCGCCATCTTGTGGCAGCCATGGGCACCAGGCATGCACATGGCACACATACATGCCTGGAGGTAAAACACTCATTCTCAAGAATTAAAAACAAATAAATGTCTGAAAATACTTTTAACCTTAAAGCTGATTGTTTCATTACAAATTTCCAAATTCATCAGAAAATGCTAATTGAACCAAGAAATGTTCAGAGTTCCAGAGTAGGAATCCATACAGCAGGGGTGAGTTCCAGCCACACCTCTTCAATGCTGAACTCTGTAGTTCAATGTGCAGACAGTCTACCATCTATAACACACTGGATTCTTTTGGGGAGACAAAATATTGTGGTTTATTCTCTCTTGAAAACATGTTTGCATGATTCACTGTATTATATGAGGTTCTCAGTTGCATTTCATAATCAATATTATCATTATTTATAGGTCTTCATAGAGATACACAACAACTCAGACTTTTACTTTCTGTTGGAAATTTTGTTATCAAGCATTTTCCTCTAAACTTTCTTAAATTAGTTTCCAAATACTATTTAGCATCTAATTTTATTGTGCTTACTAGCATGGAGCAAGGCAAATTACTCTTTTCACTGAGAGTGTGTTGTTTGCAATTGTTCAACATTTCAAAATGATAAAGTATTGCCAAGCATAACAATAATAAAAAATAGGCACAGGTGGGGCTCAACTTCTATTTCAGAAAAAAAAAAAAAAACAGATTCCAGAAATAGCTGACACTAGAACTGAAAATTAAAGTAAAAGAACTTATGTGATTTATGGAGAGCAGCTACTGTACCATGTACTGTAGTCCTGTATTATTACTTTTTAATCATTCCAACAGTGTCAGTATTACTAATCATATTGGCACATAAGAAAACAGAGGCTGAAAAGGTTAAATACCCTGCTTCGTATCAGAGAGCAAGAACTGACAGGGCAACAGTGAGCTGCATTGTTCAGAACGAAGAAAGCACACACTCAGGCTAATGACCACTTCCACCATCAGTTCTAAAGTCATCCAATTGACCTTATCTCACTACTTTTAGTTATGGGAGGAGCTATGTGGTGCAGGCATTTTGACTTAAAATACAAAACACACAACACAAAGTTACTATATTGTGGAATAAATAAATAAGTAGTAGATTCTGATCTTTGCTGAATCACTGACAAAATTCTCCTTGTGACCATCCTTCCCAAAAAGATCCCTCTGTATCATCCCATTATGAGAAAAGGGCTTCTATTAAATATTTATTTATTTATAAAGTAGCAATGGTCCATCTAAACTGGAATAAGATCAACAGAAGGTCACACTAGAGAGCTAGCCTGCACTCTAAAGATAAATTAGGATAATTAACTGGACCAACTCACCAAAGGAAAGAATAGGAAAGTGTTCTAACTCCATATGCATCTGTCAGTGCAGGTATGCTTCCTACTTAGTTTCATTTCTTATATATTATGGAGGGTGAAGAAGACACAGGATTTGGTAGGAAAGAAAGCAAACATGAAAACACTTGTTTCCAGTAGACAGGATATAAATGCCTAACATATCACTATATGTGATTAGAAATTATGAAAGTAGAAATGTCTGAACAAGAGGCTCACCTGAAAGGGGGGCGGTGACTAATGGCAGGAAAAATTTATACTTTATTCTTAGGTTTCCAACTGGCTACTGTGTTGGTGAATATTTTGTCAACTCAGATGTACAAAGAGCAAGAAAATACTACAGTGGCTCCTGTTAAGGCCTGAGTATGACATGTCTACCATAGACTTATGCAGTGGGGCTCAGTGGCGACTCCAGGAGCTCTGGGGTGTACGGCAGGGGAGGATCTCCAGGGCTTTCCTCCTCAGATGAATCAATGAGATAGTGGATAGGAGTGGGGCATAGGTGTGCCGAAGGAAAGAGTCCCTGGGGCTGTGCTGTCTGCTCCTCCTTTCTCAGTGCCCCTTTCCTGCTCACTGTTTGCCATGCTGGGGTGCCTTTTCCAAGTGACCCCACTGTCTGCACCACGTGACCCCACTGTCTGCACCACGTGGCCCCACTGTCTGCACCACGTGACCCCACTGCCACAATGTGCAGCTTCGTGAGGCATCGATGAAGCTGAAGACCACGGAGTGGAATGTTTAAGTCTGTGAACTAACACAAATCTACCCTCGACAGAATTATCTCAAGTGTTCTGTCACAAAGCAAAGTCTGACTCATATACTATCACTTAGTATAATTTCAAGGGTAGTAGGAGAGTGGAATGCAAAGTGTCATGTTTCAAATAAACAAGAAATATAGTTTTGCTTTTTCTCTTTTTAGTATCTTCTATATCCTAATCCCTGATTTGTGTATTTGTGTGTGTGTGTGTGTGTGTGTGTGTGTGTGGTGTGTGTATAAATGATTAATGTAGAGCTATTAGGAAAACTTATTCAATAGAGCAAAGAGACTTTACATTTAGGCGCTGTGCACTGTATATTCCTAACAAAACAATTCAATTAAAAAGCCAAGGAATGTGACTTAAATGTGTAAATGTAAAAGAGGTATGTGAATGAGATGGCTCAGTGAATAAAAGGTCTCGCCACTAAGTTTGAGAGCTGAGTCTGATCCCCGGCACCCACATGGTAGAAGGAGAGAATAAAGTCCCACAAACTGTCCTCTGACTTCTACACATGTGCTACAGTACCCCCACCCACCCAAAATAAATGTAATAAAAATAAATCAAATGTAAAACAAAAGGCCATATGTCACATAGACACAATGCCTTCCTTGGCTTATGTTAGCCAAAGGCTATATACAGCATTCAATTTTACCTAAAAAGAAGAGGTTAACAGTATAGTATTCTTACTCCTTGGGAAATACTTAATTGTATTTAATTCAATATTTAATGGTATTGCTTAATATCCTGTAACAGAAAAGGGTGTTTGTTCTGCTGACTTTGTTGTAGAATATAAGCTGTGTCACCCACATCATGTTCCCAGTTTAGTAGCATGAAAACACATTCTCAATTTCCTTCACATATATTTTGTAAGTTGGAATCCCAAAATGAAATAAAAACCATGCAAGAAGTAATACAAGACTTGGATTCCATGTGCTGCAGCACATGGCAAAATTTTTTAAAGTACGCAATATATTTTTTTCTTTGACACTATAAGCAAATAGACATTTAAAATGCAATTTAGATATTCTATTTTATGGTCATCAATGATGTCAGATTAAAACAGGTATTATATACCCAGTGCTCAGGTCTGATGTGTTTAAGAAAGCTCCGCCTGTTCAATGCCGTCTGTCTCTAGAGAAATTAGGTATTGACTGCATGCCTCAGTGAGTAGAGAACTCTACAAAAATCCATAGCACTCATTGATCCAAATATTGCTTCTTAACATTACTAAGAATGCAACAAATTTTTAAACAGTGTATTTGACACACATATAATTCTCTTTAATTATCTTGCAACAAGAACAAAGTATGTCAGTGCTCGTAGATGCTGGTTTTGATGGAGGAAAAATTAATAATGAAGAACTACATTTACCACCCTTGCTCCAGTTTTATACTGATGAAGCAAGTCAGCGGCAGAAACTTCCCTTAGGTTACAGAGTCCTGAGTCTGGAAGAACAACTGCCATGTTCAAGTCGTGCCATCCACAGCACTTCCAGGAATCACCATCTTTCCATCTGTCCCTTTGTCCTTCCATCTCTTTTGGTTTAATGAGCTACCTAGTAGAAAGGCTGGTCTCTTCTTCCCTTGCAGCTACTCCCTCTCACGACTCTGAATTGGAAACCGTGTAGGTAGGAGAACTAAATGGCACCTGCCTCTCACTGCTTTCTTTTGCATTGTTTTCTCTCCTGGACTTCACTAGGGAGATTTTTGGATATTAAATCACACAGTAATTGTACTAATAGTTAACATGAATATTTATGAATCTGATTTTCTTCATTTACATATAGAATTTGAGCCCCTTTATTCTGGTTTCTAAATATGGTTAAATGACTAGTTCATTTCTTTCCTTTTTTCTTTTCTTTTCTTTTCTTTCTTTCTTTTTTTTTTTTTTCTTCAGTTTCTTTGAGACAGGGTTTCTCCGTGTAGTTTTGGTGCCTGTCCTGGATCTTGCTCTGTAGACCAGGCTGGCCTTGAACTCACCAAGATCCACCAGGCTCAGCCTCCCGAGTACTGGGATTAGAAGCATACGCCACCACCACCTGCTGATTAGTTCATTTCTAACAAAATTCTGAGCTGAAATGCTTAATTTTGCAAATTTCAATGGACAATATTAGGAACAAACACTGTTCAAACACAGTGGAAATATCCAATCTTCCAGTTTTATACAAGAACAAATAACACATGTATTTAGCAAATACATGTATATATGTTCAAATACATAGGTAGATATATGTGGGCATACATATATGTATTTATATAGATGTTAATATGCAAAATACATGAAAGGAATCCACTATTTTATAGGAAAGCTGAGCCACCTGTGATTAAACGAATACTCACTCAAACACAAAACCACAAGACTTCCCTGCAAACCTCACGATAGTTCACCTGCCCTCCTGAACATTCTTTCAGATGCAGAACCATCTCTACAATCACATTCAGCCCAGTCTTCTCCCCAAGATCCAGAGTGGGGAAATCTACCCAGTGTCTCAATCAGTACATACTATAACTGTGAAGAGGAAGAAGTTTAAGTTGAGTTCTAAATAGAAATTGGATTAAATATTTCATGAAGAGAACACATACACACACAAAAACCATGCAGAATTAATTAAAGAAGGCTTTCAGAAATATTGCTGTCTGAGCTTTGGTCCAAACAACATGTGACTATTCTCACCCCTCCTACAGTTAAGATGTGCCTTCAACTGACTCAGCATTAGAATATTAATAATGCCTAAGAATCTGTGTGGGGAATTCCAGGCACAACACCAAGTAAGGAGTACTTTCCTGTCTCTGAAAATTCTATTCTACATCACAAAGTAAGTCTGGCAAGCATTCTTTGGCTCATTGAAAATGAAAGTAAAGTTAGAATGCACCACTATCTGGGCCAGAGAGATGACTTAGTGGTTAAGATCACTTGTTGCTCTTGCGGAGGACATAGGTTCAGTTCCTAGCACCCACATGATAGTTCATAGCCATTGAGACCTCCAGTTCCAAGGAATCCTACACTCTTTTCTGACCTTGCTTGACATGCACCTGGTACACATAGATATATGCAGGTCAAACACTCATATACATAAAATAAATAAATCTAAACAAATTATTTTAAAAAGCACCACTGTCAATCAGCATTTTATTTTCCTATTTCCTAATTTAATCAAGGCAATGTCACATTATACCTTCAAGTGTTAACTACATCATTAACAATGTAAATGATGGAAAATTACACAACACTAATCATTACTTTTCTACGAAAACTAGACTTGACAAAGACACGTTCTGAATGCTTTCCCTCTGTTCCAGAGTATAAAAAGTGGTCTTCATTTCAGAAACTATCCTCTAACAATCTTCCTAAAGAAGATGACACATGGTCAACACACTGCTCCACCTTCTTGATGGCCTTCCTTAAAAGACTGTGGATTTTAATTGCTCCAGAAAATGATCAACACCCTCTGCATTACATGGTCAATGGTCCTTTTAATAGAAAAGGCAATAATATACAGTTGTTTGAACCAAGTAAAACTCGTTGGAAAGTATTAGTTTAGGGTAACAGTCTGACAGCCATTACCAGTGCAAATGCCTTGCTGACACTCAGTGAAGATGTATCTCTTTCAGAGATGTTTAAAACCTATGTTTGCTTTACTATGTCTGACACCGCTTTTATAAACAAAGTTTGCAAAGAATATAATTTTGAAAGCCAAAGTTTTTTAATAATCGCCATTTTTTTCGCTAGCATAACATTAGAATTGACTTTTTGTCTCGCTGACAGAGCAACTAAGAAAGTACAGTTGCACTGGGTGTATTGATTGTGAGCAACGCGGCCATCAGCGGGACTCAGCACCATAGCTTTTCAATATTGACCTCCTACTTCCTTTTCCATGGCTTTCTGGGTCGGCTATTGGATTTGGACTGCAGAGTAATAAACAGCTAAGGTTTAATTAATGGTAAATGAATACAAGACATAGGTTATGACTTTAACTAATTAGGGAATTGTTGAATTAAGTCTGCCTTGGAATGCAAGGCAGTACAATCAATATCCAATAAAAGGGCTATGTATGTAATTTACCTGCAAATGTGTTTCCAATACCATCAAAGTGAGTTTAAATAAGTAAGATCTATGAAAGGCGCCTGGGAGAGATTTCCCAAGTTAACACTTTGGGGGTTCAGAAGATACTGCTGCTGTGGAGAGATCTCTTTCAAGGCCCTGAGAAGGACACAATGCTAACAGGACAGCATGTGACTGCCACTGATTCTGATGTCCCCTCAGCACTGCCCAGCAGCCTCACATACAGACCTGTGACTTTTCAGCCTAATGAAGGTCAGGCTTTGCTCCTGTCTAGTCACATGGTTTCTGGTTTCCGCCAGATATTCACTGGGATAACAGGAATTTACTACTTTCCACAAAAATGTCGCCAGAGCGCTCATCCTTCAGCCTGAGCACGCGACAGTCATCTCCTGTAGCTTCAGCACTTTCAACTCAACCGTCCTTCTGAGATAAAAATGTGCACTAAAAAAGGAGACCTACCTACTCCTCTGTGGGCATCCAAGCTTGTAAACTCTATTGTTCCATTATGGCCCTTCCTGGGATTTTCCTGATACTGTTTGTGGTTCCCATTGGGACAGTATCTGTAGCAAAGTCCATAGTCTGCAAGATAAACCTGGAAGAGATGGAGAGGCCAATGAGTAATGCTTCATCCTCTAAAAACATGGCCTTTAGAGTTATGTCTTAAGAGACTTGTGAGTTGTGTGCAAGTGAGGCAGCTGGGTGGGTAGAGGAACCAAGCCTGACACCCGAGTCCAGTGTCGGGACCCACCTGTAACCCAGACAGTGGAAGGACAGAACCAAGTCCTCCTGACCGCCACATGCACTGTGGTACAAGCATGCGTGTGCACACACACACCCCACAAAATAACAAATGAATCACAAATTTTAAAAAGGGACTTGAAAGTTAAGAGAAACCTCAGACCTCAGATCAATGTTTCACTACACCGAATGGTGGATAAAATACGTACTAGGAACCAGAACAACCAACTTTCTTACTTAAATCCTTGCTTCATCATGGGCTCAACCTCATTCCTAATTGCCTTCTCCTCAGGCAGATATCTAGGTGTACTTTCTTCATCTGCTGTCACATACATTATAAAGCTCTGCCTTTTAAGAAACCCTTTCCTGAAACTTAAACTGTGTTAAGTACAGAAGGCAGAGCAGAGGAGAGAAACGTTCTTTAAGTTTGAACATGGTAAGTCTCCACTGGCAGGAAGTTTAAACATAGTGAGCAGACTGTCGGGGGTAATAACTCAAACAGAAAACAAAGAAATAAAGAGCCAACCCCCAAATCCTCATCAACGGCTTGTGCTTAGGAATGGAGGGAGGATCAATGGGTGTCTGTTGGACTTTCACGGTGGCTCAACTCATCGCCACCACCATCCCTGGCAGCCACTCCGACTTTGAGCAGGTTCTCCAAGCAGAAACATGGACTGTTAGAATCAGGTAGTAATTGACAAGGGACATTTTCCTCAGATTACTTTGGAGAGGGAGTGACTTTAAGGACATAGCACACCCTACGTACTATGGAGAACTGTTTTGAACACACATTTCTGTGACATGGAGATGGATAACAATCCCACATGTCTCAAATACATTTTACCATACCCACCATGCCTCACAAATGAGAGCAGTTTCAGCTCAAGAACATACTGCTTCATATATATTTCTTTAAAATGTAAGGATTTATGCAATGTTTCAAAATGTAACTTCATGACAGTAGAGTATCATAACCTGGATTTAAAAATGTAAAATCTAGCTGGGCGGTGGTGGCGCACGCCTTTAATCCCAGCACTCGGGAGGCAGAGCCAGGCGGATCTCTGTGAGTTCGAGGCCAGCCTGGGCTACCAAGTGAGTCCTAGGAAAGGCGCAAAGCTACATAGAGAAACCCTGTCTCGAAAAACCAAAAAAAAAAAAAAAAAAAAAAAAAAAATGTAAAATCTATTGAAAGAAAATTTAGTATTTAGATGTTAGTTCTTAAATGTTTCATTGTAAGATATCTCAAATAGAAGATATTTGTAATTTCTAAATATAAGACACATAATTTTCCTCAATTGGACAACATAAATTTGCTGAATAACCCGAAAAATGTACTTCCCGAGTTTTTTCTCTCTCTCCTTCAGCTAAGTAACTGATCTCTGCACTGAGTAGCTGGGTGCTTCAGATCAGGTGAGCAATAAGTTCTTGCTTTCATTATGTCTCATGCACTCTTGCCTTTGTTTATTTCAAGAACTAAATACTAAATATACTTCATTTGCAAAAGTAGATTCCTGAAAGACACAGCACTGATGATCAGCAAACAGCTTTATTTTAATACACCAGAGAAATTTGCAGTTTTTACAAAATATCAAGAAGCTTTTCATGTACAACATTAGCTCAACAAATAAGATCCAAGCCTTTAAGGAGTGGACACCATGCACTATGCTGTGCTGTCATTGACCCAAGACAGCAAGCAATCTCGCAGGTAGGTCATGATGCCCATTCTATTTATATGGCCCTTGAAGCCAAACAATTCATAGAAAGAGAGCCAGAATCCTAGAGCAGCTCCTAGCATTATCACTTTCAAAGTTACATTAGGTTGTCAAGGGACACTTCATTCAAGATGACTCTAACAGGGAAGGCATCTAAAGAGAAGGCTAGGAAGAGAGAGGCCACAGTAAGGACCACAGGCCAAAGTGCTTAGGCCTTTTAAACTATTACCCTGAACAGATACTTCCAAAGTTCACAAGGAGGTAACTTCCTGGTCCTCAGCAAAGATGGCCAAAGTGCTCCAGGACAAGAAAGACACTGAATCTCAAAGAAGGGGAAGCATTTAGAGTTTCACTTTCCTGTACACAAGAAAAGGGAAGTGAGGCGATGACAGTCAGGAAGACTTTCCATCTATTCTGGCCATTACTGAGCTCTGAGCCACAAGAGTATGCTCAGAATGTGAAGGGTGCAGGGTTAGCCCTTAATATGAAGATGGAAGGTAACAGTTCAGTGGAGAAGATACATTAACCAAATTTTAGTCAATGAGTATTTCAGAACTAAGTGATCTAAATCATGCAGGGTCACAGCCTCAAGCAGCACAGCCATCAGAAATGCTTCTGGAGTCTTTACAGAGTTAAGGGAAGGAACCAAGTTATCATGAGAAGGCATTGAACATAAAATAAAAGACTCAGCAAAATGGGAAGTCTCTATCCCTAAACCCTATCTTCACATGTGCCTTTTAAAACTCACCCCTGTTTGGAATTTTATCAATTAGTTTAGCTTGCCATTCAAAGTATCTATATATTTCTATAACTTTTATGAGTAATGAACAGCCATTGAGGGGGAGATGGTGTACTCTTCACTGAGGGGGAGATGGTGTGCTAGCCACACAGTGGCAAGCATATATATATATATATATATATATATATATATATATATATATATATAGTTATAGCCAAACAAAAAAAGTTCTTTCTTTTGTAAGGAATGGAGTAAGTTGAAAGCCTCTTAAATGCCCCAGCTGGTCACTGGGGCTCTTCAGGCATTTGCCAACCCAACCCCAGCCACACTAGTTCTGGTAGTCTCCATCAATGACTAGTCAAGGAAAAGACGATACTGTCATTTCTACCCAGCCTGCACCTCCTCTGATGGGCAGTCTTCACTTTGTAGCATCACAGCTGGAAACAGCCTGCTCAGTTCTGGTGATGCTCCTTCCACACACAACACATGACATGGCACTGACAAAGCATTCCATTTTGCTTGCTCCCTTTTAACTTTTAATCAGCATCACATTTTACACCCTCCCATAAACTTCTTGAACTCCTAATTTTGTTTCAGCATCTGCCTTCCTGAGAGCCCAATTTCACAGAAGATCAGTAAATCACAGCTTTGATTAATGAATGAAATCAAGTTCTCCTTTAGCATAGCCATAAAAATCACAGCTAATTTTCCTAGCTGGAGTAAGCCATCTCAAAGCTCAGCTTCCTTTGTTACTTGAGTGGCTGAGTAGGTCCCACACAACATAGTCTCCAGCTCTATGCTGTTAAGGCTTCACCTCCGGGGTCCTTTGCCACCTGACACTCTCAGAACTTAAACCGCTCTGGTTTTCCAGTTTGATGTGTGGAATCACAGGTGATTAAAGAGCATCTGTGATGATTCTCCTGAAGCAACTTGCACAGGAAGAGCTTTCCTCCTCACAGCCACAGCTCTGTGTGGTGATATTTTATTTGTACAAACCAATAAAGTTTATCTGAGGATCAGAAGAAAAAACCAGCCACTATACTAAACATAGAAGTCAAGCAATGGTAGTACATGCCTTTAATCCTATCATTCTGGAGGCAGGGATCTGTCTGGATCTCTGTGAGCTCAAGGCCACACTGGGAACAGAGCCAGGTGTGGTGGCACATGCCTTAAATTCCAACACTAGTTAACCATAAAGGTCTGGAGGTCTGTATAGACAGACAGGAAGTGATGGAGCTGGGTAGTGATGTAGCTGGATGGAGAGAGCAAATGATATAGCAGAACAGAAAGGCATATGGGTGTGGATATACAGGAAGTAGGTCTCTTTGGAAGCTAAGGAGTTGGTGAGGTGAGGTTAGCTTGTGGCTTTTCCTATTCCTCTGATCTCTCAGGTTTTCATCCCAATATCTGACTCCATGTTTTTTTTTTAATAAGATCTGTTAAGATTCATGTTACAATTGGCACTCCAACAATTGTGGCAAGAATTCACTAAAAAGCCACTTGTGGCCTTGCAGCCGACCCGGTTCATGACAGAGCTGCATACGGCTGGATCTCCAAACCACATGGGCTGGAGTCTCTTTGAGTTTTTCTCTCCTAGTGGGTTGTGGGTGCTCTCTGGATTCCCATCTTGGACTGCTACCATAATGGATAGCTGCTTTGAAATCCCCTCTGACTTCTACTATTCGACACAGTCGACAGACTTGGTTAAATCAATTAAGATATCTTAAAGGGAGAAATTAGTTAAAAGATAAATTTTTTCCCACATTAAAAAAATGGGAAACATTTTTACAATGGAAGGAATTTGGTCTCTGTTTGATAAAACATTAGGCAGTCTGAAAATGGAACAATTAAATGAGAGGATAATTAATATTGAAGGGATTTACATAACATCAATGATGAATATTATTTGTTTGATCATTTTCATTTTAGCATTAAAAACCTTGGTCAATTTGAGTGCCAAGATAAAAGCTTTAGAAAATCTTGTTTAAAAGAATTATAGATAAATTCAGACCCAGACAGAAGAATTTAAAGGTGAACCTATTTAAAGGATTGAATTATATGGTTACAGAGAAACATGCTCAGGTTACCAGACAGCAAACATTAATCTTACAGTAACCTTACAGGAAGTGCAAAATGCTCAAGGGTGTGTACAAGCTAACTGGACTCCAGTGGGAATGTTAGAGGAGTTTTAAAGAAGCTAGAGTATCATATGGTATGCATTCTGCATTTGTAAAGCAGATGTTAAACTCATGGTCAACTTGTAATAGAATTATCTCTCAAGACTGGAGAGATTTGGTTACAGCTGTCCTAGAGACCAGACAACAATTACAATGGAAAAAGTGGATCAAAGGGGAGGCTAGAATGATAGAAAAATGATGTAGGACTAGAAGTGTACAAATTTCC